CACTAACCCATCATGTACACTACCGCTAACCATCAACCCCTTCACACTAACCTAACATGTATACTACCGCTAACCTAACACACTCTAACATCAACCCCTTCACACTAACCTAACATGTACACTACTAACAACCATCAACCCCTTCACACTAACCTAACATGTACACTACCGCTAACCTTCAACCCCTTCACACTAACCTAACATGTACACTACTAACAACCATCAACCCCTTCACACTAACCTAACATGTACACTACCGCTAACCATCAACCCCTACACACTAACCCATCATGTACACTACCGCTAACCATCAACCCCTACATACTAACCTAACATGTACACTACCGCTAACCATCTATCCCTACACACTAACCTAACATGTACACTACTACTAACCATCAACCCCTTCACACTAACCTAACATGTACACTACCGCTAACCATCAACCCCTACACACTAACCTAACATGTATACTACCGCTAACCATCAACCCCTACATACTAACCCAACATGTACACTACCGCTAACCATCAACCCCTTCACACTAACCTAACATGTACACTACCACTAACCATCAACCCCTACATACTAACCCAACATGTACACTACCGCTAACCATCAAATATAAAAAAATCAGACAGGATGCATGCAGAATGTAGATAAAATGTTGTGCACTTTTAAAGATACATGCATTTTATCATCGTGATTCATATAGAAGCAGGATGCAGGCTGTCATAAACAGCTTGGTGGTCCCTGAGAAACGCCTTTATATATAGATCTGATAGAGCAAGGTAGAACTATAGATGTCTTTATGGAATATACAGCTGATTCGTTATATCTGCAGTATACCCGGCCTTTATATATAGATCTGATAGCGCAAGCTAGAACTATAGATGTCTTTATGGAATTTACAGCTGATTCGTTATATCCGCAGTATACCCGGCCTTTATATATAGATCTGATAGAGCAAGGTAGAACTATGGATGTCTTTATGGAATATACAGCTGATTCGTTATATCCGCAGTATACCCGGCCTTTGTATATAGATCTGATAGAGCAAGGTAGAACTATAGATGTCTTTATGGAATATACAGTTGATTCGTTATATCCGCAGTATACCCGGCCTTTGTATATAGATCTGATAGAGCAAGGTAGAACTATAGATGTCTTTATGGAATTTACAGCTGATTCGTTATATCCGCAGTATACCCGGCCTTTATATATAGAACTGATAGAGCAAGGTAGAACTATAGATGTCTTTATGGAATATACAGCTGATTCGTTATATCCGCAGTATACCCGGCCTTTATATATAGATCTGATAGCGCAAGCTAGAACTATAGATGTCTTTATGGAATTTACAGCTGATTCGTTATATCCGCAGTATACCCGGCCTTTATATATAGATCTGATAGAGCAAGGTAGAACTATAGATGTCTTTATGGAATTTACAGCTGATTCGTTATATCCGCAGTATACCCGGCCTTTATACACACTGCGCAGGAAATTAAACAAAAACTTTAAATGTCACTTTGGTTCGTCCTCCGTTTGCCTAATTTGGCCTAAAATGCATTTTTCTCCTGAATTCAATGGATTTCCTAGTTTAATAAAAATTTAGAAATACACTCCCCAGTTTACGTGTTATCTGCAGCTTAAAACCTCTCACATTTCAAGTTATCAGTAAGAGCTGATAATCTTGTTTTACAGGAAAACTCAAATTTCAGTGGAGCTGGAACACCTTTTGTTCCTTTAAGATAGCGGCATGTGGTCCGAGCAGCCTCCCTCAGATGCCAAATAATGGGATATTTTTAATGTTAGCATGGTATATGTATGTGAACAGACAGGAACTTGACGCTGGCTGTAATAACTCCGATATCTGTGAAAGGAAGCGTCTCCCTTGACAGAAACCAGCAGATAGGACTTTCTGTTGCTCGTAGTTTCCATTAGTGTAAACTCATTACATGCCCCTTGCTAACCCAATAGTCGCCTACATGATTCCAATCAGCAGTCAGTAATACTTAGCTCCAGCTAAACAATGTACAAGGTTTTTTTCATTTTATTCAGTGCTGTAATTTTTGGAGAAGTGACAGTTCTCCTTTAATTTCTTGAACATACACATTTCCCAGCATGCATCACTCCTCCTCTTTGTGATTGGCTGCTGGGTTGTAACATATCCAATCCTTTGTAATATGTTTTATTACTGGTGCAGAAAACGTTGATGGGTTTGGCTTAAGCCAAAAAATGCCCCCAGTACCCATGTGATTGGAGGGGGCAGTCAACTAAAGAGAAACACACACTCACAGACTTGACACTCACTAACAGATACACACTCACTAACAGGCACACACACACACTCACTAACAGGCACACACACACACACACATTCACTGACAGGCACACACTCATTGCCAGACACAAACACACTCACAGACTTGACACACACACTTACAAACAGATACACGCTCACTAACAAATAAACACTCACTGACAGGCACACACACTCACTGACAGGCACACACACTCAATGACAGACAGGCACACACTCAATGACAGACAGGCACACACTCAATGACAGACAGGCACACACTCCTTGACAGACACAAACACACTCATTGACAGACAAAAACACTAATTGACAGACAGAAACACACTAACAGACAGACACACACTCACTAACAGATACACGCTCACTGACATGCACACACATACATTCATTGACAGACACACACACACTCATTGACAGACACAAACACACTCACAGACTTGACACACACACACACACACACTAACAGATACACACTCACTGACAGACAGACACACACACACACACACACACACATTCACTGACAGGCACACACTCATTGGCAGACACACACACTCTAACAGACAGACACACACATACTCACTAACAGATACACACTCACTGACAGGCACACACACACACATTCACTGACAGGCACACACTCATTGGCAGACACAAACACACTCACAGACTTGAGACACAAGTAACACACTAACAGACAGACACACTCACTAACAGACACACACACATGCTCACTGACAGGCACACACTTATTGACTTGACACACACTAACAGACACACACTCACAGACAGACACACAAACTGATACTTCAACACTCACACACATTTTATCACACACTCACAGATTATTTGTTTAATTTTAACCTTCGGGAGAGCTGGAGTGGATCCTTGGGTCCAGTGCAGCTGTTCTGATAATTTTCACAGTCTTCTTATTCTTCTCGTTGGCACACTGTTCAGTGATGCCAGGGCTGGAGTGATGTGATATACCAGCCCTGGCATCATAGCAGGGCGCATGAGAGAGCAGAGCAGTAAGATTACATCCGATCTCCATGAGCCACCCCCCTCCACTCTCCATGAGCCAGCTGCCTGCCTCCGATCTCAGTCAGCCGGCTACCTTGGGGGCTGCATGGGCTGACAAACACCCTGGCACCAATACAAAATTCCTTGCCGGCGATTTGTCGAGCTCAGCACCAAAATATGTATTTCTCCACCAGTAAACCCCACATATCAGGTATCCCTGGATAGCTCAACCCATCAGCTGTATACAGTTCAAATAGCGCCCTGCTCCTCGGCACGGTGTATGATCGCCACCCGGTTAAAGGTTTGAGTTGAGCTCCGAGACCATCACTAGTTCCATGTGGCTGCTCCGGAGTACCTAGCCTGCACAGATAGGTTACCAGGTGGCTAGATTTCAGGGTACTTGTTCTGTTAGTGTCTGCTAGGGAAGGCATGAACCACATCAAGTTCTTTTCTGCTGAATTGTAGTTATTCCAGGCAGAGTTTCTCAATGGACCAGGCACTCTGGGAAGGCAACAGCGGTGGAGGGCAGTGTACACAGGGGTATGGGATAAAAAGCCCTGGGGAAATAATTCAAATTACCCTTACTTAGGGTAACACTGTGCCAAAACAAGACCTTGGCCTATATTTTTAGATTGAGATGTGTATGTTGCCGTATTGCGTTTGTGTTATTTATGGGTGCGGCAGTTGCTTTGTAACGCTGTTTTTGTGCCAATATGGGCTGTTATATTGTATTTGTTCCTGAGTAGTTTGAGGTGTTGTGTATGATGTTTAGGGGGACTGTATGTGGATTGTCCCTCACCATCGGCAATCGCAGCTCAGTTTGCACTAGCAAATATCTGGAACTCCTGAGAGGCCGGAGCCTGTTTGGCTCTGGTAGCCTCGAGTGCCATGCATAGCGCATGTGCCATAGGATGCTGACCCCTGCCTCAGGGGGTAAATTAAGATTTTGTTTTCCTGTCATTCCTTTGTAACATGTTCAGTATCACCGTGCCCCATCGGTGTGCATATTGTATCAGAATCTAATTTCTATAAATTTGCATTTACAGAACAAAAGGTCAGCACTAGCCGAGGCATGAAAACATCTTGTAGGAACATTAATAGAGTTTTCTGGGTTAATAATTTACTTGTTAGTGAATTTACTGCCGGGCTTCTTAGTGCGGGACACAATGCGCTCTGTTCTTATATTCCATTGTATGATATTGGGATTTGTGCAAAAGAAGCTGAAAATAAGGACTGGTTGTGAGCGCAGGTCAGTGACGATGGTGTAAGCCACACTAGTCAATGTGCAGATAGCAGTTAGATAATCTGCTTGTGGCGGAGGCTGTCCTGGGTCCTGATACCAAGGGAGACATATCAGGGATATTAAGATCCAAACTCTGTAGTTATCTGGATCGTTACATGTTGGACCCAGCACGCTTTTTCTAACAAGATGAGGCCTTAGACCTTCAGTGACAGCATTGTATATAATACCACCTGAGGGATGTCTTCACACGTCTGACTTGGAGATTTAATTCCTAGAATTTCCAGCTTGTTCTGTGTCTGAACTAAAATAAACTTGTTTTCTAAATCTTACATTTGTCTAGCTAATATAATTTCTCCAGATCTATATAATAATATAATATATTCCTATAATATTCTGACTGCCAATAGCTGGGCTGTTAAAGATGCACCCTCCAGCCCCTATTCTTTAATGCAACAATTAGTTGAAAACAACACAATTTATTGAAACCTTTTATTGTAACAAGATATGCTCACAGTCTGAACTTCATGAATGGGAACAATGGGTGCTTATTGCTCATTAGTATCCACTATAGTGCCAGGAAAACAAACTCATTTTCCTGGCACTATAGGGTCATTAGGCCCCCCCCACCCTCAGGGCCAAAGGAGTTAAATGCCCATCAGCCATTTACCTTTCTCCAGCACCGGGCTCTCTCTGCTGACTTCAGATCCGAATGCGCATGCGCGTCAAGAGCCACGCGCTCAAACCGCCCATAGGAAAGCATCACTCAATGCTTTCCTATGGACGTATAGCGTCTTCTCACTGTGATCTTCACACTGAGAATCACGGAAGTGCCTCTGGCGGCTGTCAGTGAGACAGCCACTAGAGGCTGGATTAAGCCTAATGTAAACATATGTAAACATAGTTTCTCAAACTGCTATATTTTCAGCTGCAGGGTTAAAACTAGAGGGACCTGGCACCCAGACCACTTCACTGAGCTGAAGAGGTCTGGGTGCCTATAGGGGTTCTTTTATAGATATTAGCTAAACCGTGTCCTGTGTGCCTCTGACTTTCAATGGAATATCTCACAAGCGTCCTTACACAGGAGAGCCAGCCTCTATTTTGGGCCCAAATCCCTCTGTCCCTCTTTTCTATCCTAATGTCCCTCTTTTCTAGGAACTCCATATTGTTGGTGTGTATAAAAGAGCTCCACAGCAATAATACTCCCAGTAATGGATCTGAGTGTATAACAGAGCTCCACTGCAATAATACTCCCAGTAATGGATCTGAGTGTATAACAGTGATCCACAGCAATAATACTCCCAATAATGTGTCTGTGTGTATAACAGAGCTCCACAGCAACAATACTCCCAGTAATGTGTCTGAGGGTATAACAGAGTTCCACAGCAATAATACTCCCAGTAATGTGTCTGAGTGTATAACAGAGCTCCACAGCAACAATACTCCCAGTAATGTGTCTGAGGGTATAACAGAGCTCCACAGCAATAATACTCCCAGTAATGTGTCTGAGTGTATAACAGAGCTCCACAGCAATAATACTCCCAGTAATGTGTCCAGGTAGTACAACAGGAGCCCACAGCCATAATATCCCAGTAATGTGTGTCTGAGTGCATAACAGAGCCCACAGCAATAATCCTCCCAGTAATGTGTCTGGAGTGTATAACAGAGTTCCACAGCACACACACCCCAGTAATGTGTCTGAGTGTATAACAGAGCCTCAACAGCAATAATCCTCCCAGTACCTATCTGAGTGTATAACAGAGCCCACAGCACAATAATAATTCCCAGTAATGTGTCTGAGTGTAAAACAGCTCCACAGCAATAATACTCCCAGTAATGTGTCTGAGTGTATAACAGAGCTCCACAGCAATAATACTCCCAGTAATGTGTCTGAGTGTATAACAGAGTCCCACAGCAATAATACTCCCAGTAATGTGTCTGAGTGTATAACAGAGCTCCACAGCAATAATACCCCAGTAATGTGTCTGAGTGTATAACAGAGCTCCACAGCAATAATACTCCCAGTAATGTGTCTGAGTGTATAACAGAGCTCCACAGCAATAATACTCCCAGTAATGTGTCTGTGTGTATAACAGAGCTCCACATCAATAATACTCCCAGTAATGTGTCTGAGTGTATAACAGAGCTCCACAGCAATAATACTCCCAGTAATGTGTCTGAGTGTATAACAGAGCTCCACAGCAATAATACTCCCAGTGATGTGTCTGCCTGTACAACAGAGCCCACAGCAATAATACTCCCAGTAATGTGTCTGAGTGTATAACAGAGCTTCACAGCAATAATACTCCCAGTAATGTGTCTGAGTGTATAACAGAGCTCCACAGCAATAATACTCCCAGTAATGTGTCAGCGTGTATAACAGAGCTCCACAGCGATAATACTCCCAGTAATGTGTCTGAGTGTATGACAGCTCCACAGCAATAATACTCCCAGTAATGTGTCTGCATGTATAACAGAGCTCCACAGCGATAATACTCCCAGTAATGTGCCTGAGTGTATAACAGAGCTCCACAGTAATAATACTCCCAGTAATGTGTATGTGTATAACAGAGCTCCACAGCAATAATACTCCCAGTAATGTGTCTGAGTGTATAACAGAGCTCCACAGCAATAATACTCCCAGTAATGTGTCTGAGTGTATAACAAAGCTCCAAAACAATAATACTCCCAGTAATGTGTCTGAGTGTATTACAGAGCTCCAAAACAATAATACTCCCAGTAATGTGTCTGAGTGTATAACAGAGCTCCACAGCAATAATACTCCCAGTAATGTGTCTGAGTGTGTAACAGAGCTCCACAGCAACAATACTCCCAGTAATGTGTCTGAGTGTATAACAGAGCCCCACAGTAATAATACTCCCAGTAATGTGTCTGAGAGTATAACAGAGCTCCACAGTAATAATACTCCCAGTAATGTGTCTGAGTGTATAACAGAGCTCCACAGCAATAATACTCCCAGCAATGTGTCTGAGTGTATAACAGAGCTCCACAGCAATAATACTCCCAGCATTGTGTCTGAGTGTATAACAGAGCTCCACAGCAATAATACTCCCAACATTGTGTCTGAGTGTATAACAGAGCTCCACAGCAATAATACTCCCAACATTGTGTCTGAGTGTATAACAGAGCTCCACAGCAATAATACTCCCAGCAATGTGTCTGAGTGTATAACAGAGCTCCACAGCAATAATACTCCCAGTAATGTGTCTGAGTGTATAACAGAGCTCCACAGCAATAATACTCCCAGTAATGTGTCTGAGTGTATAACAGATCTCCACAGCAATAATACTCCCAGTAATGTGTCTGAGTGTATAACAGAGCTCCACAGCAATAATACTCCCAGTAATGTGTCTGAGTGTATAACAGAGCTCCACAGCAATAATACTCCCAGTAATGTGTCTGAGTGTATAACAGAGCTCCAGAGCAATAATACTCCCAGTAATGTGTCTGAGTGTATAACAGAGCTCCACAGCAATAATACTCCCAGTAATGTGTCTGAGTGTATAACAGAGCTCCACAGCAATAATACTCCCAGTAATGTGTCTGAGTGTATAACAGAGCTCCACAGCAATAATACTCCCAGTAATGTGTCTGAGTGTATAACAGAGCTCCACAGCAATAATACTCCCAGTAATGTGTCTGAGTGTATAACAGAGCTCCACAGCAATAATACTCCCAGTAATGTGTCTGAGTGTATAACAGAGCTCCACAGCAATAATACTCCCAGTAATGTGTCTGAGTGTATAACAGAGCTCCACAGCAATAATACTCCCAGTAATGTGTCTGAGTGTATAACAGAGCTCCACAGCAATAATACTCCCAGTAATGTGTCTGAGTGTATAACAGAGCTCAACGGCAATAATACTCCCAGTAATGTGTCTTTAAACTACAATAAATGTATTTAGAAATCAGCTCACAAAACCACAAACATAGTAAGAATGTTTTACAGAATACCATCCCCACCTCCCCCCATCTTCCTTCCGTAAAGTGGGTGCCAGTGGTAAGAGTATGCTGGACCTACCATACGAATTGCATCATTGGCGCTATCCAAAAAGTGTCAGCCCATCCCAAACAATAGGCAGATCAGTCTGACATCCAGGGCAGCCAACTAAGGATGGATGTCAGCGATGTTTCAGAGCTCTCGGCGTGGTGCTTGTGACCTTCGTTTAGAGCATGCACGTGGAATGATACATTGTTCTGCACTTTCTACGGACAGGTCTCTGGTGTCCCTAAAAGTGGAACACCAAGGAACAGAGTTTGGGTTCAGACCCGTCGGAATCTGGCCAGCTGCGAGACCTCCGAAACTGAAATTCCCATTTTCAGACAGAAGTTATGGCTTGGATTTGAGATTCCCGGATCGCTTTCCCCACGTTAGGTTATTGCATTCTCTACTTTCCGTGAGGTTCTGACGTTCTTTGCAAAATTTGTCAACAGCCAGAAATTTAAAATGCTTTCAAAGTGAATTCAGAATTTTAGACTAAAATAGCCAAACTGGAAAAATTCCCATCTGCTAAGTTTTCAGTTTGACTATTTTGACCTTAATTTTACAATTCATTTTCAGGGTTTTGACTAAAGTGTGTCTGGAATTCAACGTGAATATCAACGTAAGATAGCAGAGCTGGACGCACAGCAGATCGGGAGATTTAATTCTATTTGAGCGATATTCACCTAAAATGTGACATATTTTGAATTCCTGGCAATTCACACATTAGTGAATGACAAATTGTAATTCTTTGCTTTTATCGTATCCTGAATATCATCGCTTTAGTAATTCACACAGACACTCAATGCACGGAGCTCCATTCTCAAGGCATGTCGCACCCATTACTTGCGCCCAGTGATGTATTTTGGATTTGTGCTGCCCTTGGCACGACTAAATTCGGGCACCCCCAAAATCAAAATTTGCCCCACCCCAATTTGTGTCAAGGCCACTTTTTTGACTGACAGATACAGGCCCTCGTTGAATCATGCACTGATATACACTCACTGACAGATACAGTCATTGGCACACACTGTTTAACCAACACACACTTTCACTGACAGACACACACTCTCAGATACACATAAAATGACACACACACACTGACACACACTCACAGGCACATCCATTCTCATTGAAAGACACATACTTTCATTCACTCACTCACAGAGAGAGAGCAAGAAGAGCGGAGGAGAGCGCTCTGTTTCTGCCCGGCTAGAATATTAGTAGTTTAACAACTCGGGGGTGGGTGGAAGGGTGGGGTGCCCACCCTGAAAGTGCCTCCCTAGACAGCCCTGCTTGCGACCAGTCTCACCATATTGGAGTCAAGTTCACTACGATAGTGAAGAATAAACACTTTGTATATAGTGATTCCAGATTCGGATTCATTGTAATTATTACCCACAAAATGCAATAGATCATCTGTGTCCCGAACCCAGAATGGTGTCTCTGGACTCAAGTGTCTGCCATTGGACACCTGATCATGGACTTGGGGACGGTGGGCTTCTAGCCATGGCCCACCCAACCGAATCTCTATTAAAACAACCACAGGGATTTTAAAGGAAGCAAATAAACTAAAAACTGATCCAGAACATTGTGTGACAGAGGGCACAGAGAATACATCAGGACAAATAAATGGGGGAGTGATGGCTGTAAA